ATCCAGCCTTGACACCCACATTTACCACATGAAAGGGACTGTGGGTTTTTCATTCAGACCATCAGAAGCATTATCAGAGCCATTATTTATTCTGCCAAGTGTATGAGGTTCTTTTCCTGGATTTTCTTAATTATTAGTTAAAAACATAGCCTTGTTTAAACTCAGAAGAACATCAGGGACTGTAATGCTGAGTTCTTGCTGGACCAATAAAAGCTGGGGTGTTTGATGCTATATAAATCTTGGGTTTTTAATCCCTCCTTGGGAGAAAGTGAGAGAAAAACGCAATAAAACCAGAAAAGGAGATATTGCTAAAAGAAACTAACCGAACAGCAAAAAATGAAAATGAAAACAGCCTTTAAAACATGCAGTTCCCTAAAAAGTGGTAAGTTTTCACCAGGCTTTTATTGGTTCAGGATCCTCCAACTTTATTCCCCATCTTGTGGTGGGCAGCTTGTATCTCAGTGGTCAGTAACGGTCATTCAGAGTGTCAGTGCTTTGTCCCTTGTCCAGAAGGAAAGGATGCAGTTTGCCTGCTTTCACTTTGATCTGAAAGGGTTATGGGACATGACACAACACTGACACGTGCCGAACAGCGTCAGTCCCAATGTTCAGAATCGAAGTTAGTTCAAAGAAAACATCAGGGAGATGAACTTTGCATCATATGGGTAACTTATTTACAGAGCTGGCCCTCTGATTTATTTATTTGTTTATTTAGCATCTGCAGTAACTCCATAGCAAGGCAGTGTAGAAAGCCATCAACTCCCAGTTGGAAGGTCAGTGTGTTTTTGGGAGACATTTCTGAGGTGTGCATGAGAGTTTATGGGGGTGGGTGGGTTGTTTTTTTAAGTGAGATTGTTCAGTTTTTCTGCTTTTATAGATTCTATTTACTTAATTTAGAAAAATGTAGGTAAAACTAACATGCTGCAGTGTAAAATTCTGCAGCTCTGTTTGAGACAGAAGTACTATGACCTGTACTATGACCTGCAAGACTGAATTTAGATCCCAAATGGTTCCTAAATTCTAGCCCATAGATTACATTTGGTCCGTAGAGCACTGGCTTGTGGCCCACAGACAGATGACCAGGGAAATGGTTCTCACAGTCCTCCTTTACTCCCACCTGCTAACTTGCATTACCATGTAGCTTGAAGTAAATGCTAATGTAAATTTCCCATGTTTGTCATTACTGGAGTTGCTATAGAAAATTCACATGATCCCAAATGGGAGAGAATCATAGAATCCCCAGACAGATTTTTGGTTCCTTCAAGGATTAAACTTATCACCCTGGGTTTAGCAGGCTAATGCTCAAACCACTGAGCTATTCCTCCTCCTCAATAGGAGGTGACCCATAGCACTGTGAGTGGGAAGAGAGGCAACTGTGAGGGCGCTCGAACGTGGTTCACAGAATTGTGAATGAAGGAGAGTGTGACGTGTCATTCCATATTCTTTATGAAAATATGCTTATGATCTGAATGACATAACTGAGATACTTTATTCTAGATGGCTCATGTAAGATATCATTGGAAAGGTTATGATTTACTGAATGTGATTATCCAATTTGTATGCCTGTATCATTTCTGTATCTGAACTTAGGAATATTGACTCTGTATCTGTATTTCAACTATGCTACTTTGGGTGACGCCCCCTGCCAACGCTTCAGGAACAGCAATGGAAAAGCCAGACAGGGTGGATGGCCCATCAGCAAGGACAATGAGCTGTGAATGAGCCATACTGCCACTGACTCATGGATGCCTTGATCCTACAAAGTCAGGTGGTCTTGTCGCCTGATACGAAACATTACCTGGGACTTATTGTAACTTTCCACTGGAAGGGAAGGGAGGTCAAGTTTGGGAAACAAAGGATTACCACCTTATGTAAATCCTATTTAAGGGTGGGGAAGAAGGCACACAGGACTCCTCCTCTCCATGGCCTGTCTGCCAAGAAGAAACACTGAAAAAGGAAAACTGAAGGTAAGGGAGGAGTCCAGACTGAGACAGGGGTCCAGTCTGAAAAGGAATATAACTGGAACTCTGAACCACAGAAACTTTGCAAACTGCCTGCAACGATATCTAGGGGGAGAAATACTATTTGTAACCAATGTCTTTAGTGAAACTAGCTTAGTTTGCATGTTTGATTTCATTTGCTTAGTAATCTGCTTTGTTCTGTTTGTTATCTCTTATAATCGCTTAAAATCTGCCTTTTATAGTTAATAAAAATTTGTTTTGTTTATTATTAAACCCAGTTTCTGTAATTTCTAACGGGGGATGGGGACAAGAAGTGTGCACATTTCTGTCCACATTGAGGGAGGGGGTGAATTTCATAATATATCTTTGGGTCTGCGCTCCCAGGGAGGTGGACACCTGAGTGTTGGAGCAAGTCCCTTAAACTGAGTCTTCCCACAGCTGATCTGCAGCTGGGTGTGTCCCTGCCTGTGTGTGTGTGTGTGTGTGTGTGTTAGAGGAGGTTTCAAGAGCCTATCTCAGCAAGACAGGTTAAAGGGGGCCCATGCTGGCAGAACAGGTAGACTCAGTGGTATCTCAGCACATCAGGTGGCTTCCCAATGGGTCCAGCCCATCACAGAGAGATGTCTGCAAGACAATATCTCTAACATGAGGTTCATCCCGGTCCCGATGAAGACATTAATTGCCTCCCATTGCTCTCTCTCTTTCTCTGCTCCCTTCTTCTGACTAACTCTCCCAGACTGCATTGAAACCCCACACCTCCTATTTGCCCCCATTTCTTCTCCCAGCAGCCAGGCCCTCTTTCTGCTTTCAGTCATCTGCAGTAAGTGCCTTCATCCCCCTAAATTTGTCACAGGACCCTCTGCACTAGCTGCAGTGTTGCTTCTATGGAGGATGCAAAGGGCTGTGAATTGCCAAGGTGCCTACTCACAGAACTGAGCAGAACCAGATACACCTTTGTGAAAGAGGGACCAATGGGCAGAAAATTCACAGCCAAAGATTGCTCAGCAAGTGAGTCAAGGGATGATCTTAGTACTGGTCAAGCAGCCTAACACCATAAGATATATCACTATGGGCACCTGCTTACATAGCCTCTGCATGAGAGGTAACATGCCTTCCAACATGAATGCAAGACAGGGGCACATTGCATGTATTAGTTCCTGGTTAGCGTTCATTTTTGTGTAATAATTAACAGTAATTCTGCACTCAGGAAGGCAAAAGACACAAAAACGCAGGGGAAAACCCAGTAACTAGAAATCCGTTAAACATTGTGTGTTGTAAGGTGTAAGCGTGCGACTCACTGATCAACACACTCCTTGGTGGTTGGGCATGGCATTGCACGCTCATCTCCTTTAGCATCCCCTACTGACAGCCATGCCAGCCCTGCAGTAATCTGTTTTGTCTTGTGACTTGGCCCTGCGGCCAGGTCACATAGAGTCCCACTCCTTCTGGGGTAAACCAATCGTCCAACAACTATTAGTCCTTTAACGTCATGTTGGACCCTCAAGTCCAAGTCCAGATTCACTAGGCCCTACTCTGGTTATCGGGGGGTTTCAGTTCAACTTACCCCTTGTCAGCGGGTTTCTGCTCCACCTTCCTTGGAGGGCTGGTAGGGGACCCAGGCCCGCCCTCTCCACTGGGTTCCGGTCCAGGGGCCCGTGCATAGGCAGCCAAGGCCTGACTACACAGGCCTCTTGTTGTCTTCCTGGTCCACTTCCTACCTAGCCCTGCCTCGGGCCTTTGCCTCAGGCTATTCCCAGGCCCCCAGTGTCTCAGCTCCATGCTCTCTAAGCCTCTTCCCCAGGCTCACTGCAGAGCTTCTCAGCACTTCCTACCCACCGGCTGGTTCTCCTGCGGGGGAGTTTTCTCTGTGCCCCTGGCAGGGCAGTCCCTGACCCATCTGGAGCCTTCTTGCTCCCTGAGCCCCTCCACCAGTGCACAGAATCCCAGCTTCCTGCGGCTTTCTTTCCCAACTGCCTTGGGCTCCCTGTGGCAGACGTACTTTCCTTCAGGGAGGCTCTATCTGCCAGCAGCCCTATTCAGCGCCCTGACTCCAGCAAGGCTTCTCTCCCTGAGGGAGAGCCAGAGATCTGCTCTCCTTCCTGGTCAGGCCCCACCTGAGCCAGGTTCAGCCCTTTTAACTCCTCTCTCCAGGTTTGACACTTATTGCAGATGTTGTGGGTAGGGCTGATTACACTCACAGGTTCTCTGTAACCCTTTTAGGCCCAGCTTGGGGTTGGGACACCCCATCACGTAAGGTTTTAATAGACAAACTTTTCCTGAGGTTTACTCCTTGATTGTGATCTTTCCTTGGAAATACAGAATGTATCCTACTCACATTATTTTCATTATTATTATTTGACTCCCAAGAATGCCTCCCACATTCACTCACGGAGAACTCAGCTCTAACAATACAAAGGGTTACCTTCTCCTTTCTTGTCATTTTAGGTATATTTTCTGCAATGTTAATCTTGGGAATTCACATGCGCCTGACCTCAGGACTTTGGGGACAAAACATTGGGGGTATGTTCTGGAGAAGCAGCACTGTCTAAACTGATCACTGGACCAGGAAACAAGAACTCCAGAGTCCTGGCTCTGTCACCATGTGACTTTGGACAAGTCACTTAGGTCCTGATTCAGCAAAGCACTTAAGCACATGCAGAACTTTAAGCATGTGTTCTATTTGATTCATCACCACAGAACCTGTGACCCAGAACCTCAAAGGTATTTAGGAACCCAACTCCCATTGATTTAAATGAGAATTAGGAACCTAAACCTGCTTGAAGATCTTGGCCTGAGTGCCTTCCAGCAGTGCATTAAGTAATGTGACTAACACCTGTGCTTAAGTGGTTGGCTGAATAGTGACCTTTAACTGTGTGCTTCAGTGTATCCAGCCACGAAAGAGAGATTATGATCCTTCCTGGCCTTCCTCCCCAAAGTGTTTTGAAGATTCATGAGTTAATGTGTGTGAAGGACTTTGAAGTTGCAATGCACTCATTAGAGCTAAGCATTATTGTGATAGCCAGTCTTTTGGAAAACCTTGGAAGTGTCTAGCAAATCTCTGCAGTCAAATTGACTGTGTGTAGCCAATGGAATTGCAACATCTGACTTTAAATCTCCTCACTTCCACTCAGAGCCCAACCAAGCAGTCCTTATATAGGTAAAACTCCCAGTGAAGTCAATGGGAGGTTTGACTGTATGAGACATTTACAGCCTCAATCCTTTGCAAGCAATTCACTAATACCACAATGAAAGTCAAAAGACATACCAGAGATGTACGTGCTTCATGAAAGTGAATCACAGTGAAGATTGATAAGATATGGAGATACTGTTTTATGCACTAGTAGCCTGACTTTGCCAGAAAAGAAAGTGAATCACAAGCCCATCTAGGCTATGAGATACCATAATGATGGGCATGGTATACAAAGATAGACACAGACACAGGAGGGGCTCAAAGGAGAAGCAGAACAGTCATAAGTATCATTATACAACAAGTAACGCGATTTCATTTAGGATGTCAAATCTGCCCAGCCTTCTCAACAGGAAATGGTCTCTAATTGTAAAGTAGAAATGTAAAGAGCAAAACATATTCGCTGAACCACATGTCTGTGTGAAGGTGAAACTACCAAAGTGTTGGTCCCTTTTTAAAAATCTGACCCATTCATGTCATGGAACAAAGAGCCAAATCCCACAGTGGTGCAAGTCAGCAGAGCTCTGTTGAAGTCAATAGAACTATGCTGATTTTGCTGAGGATCTGGCCTTATATAAGAACATAAGAAGTCCCACACCAGGTCAGACCAATGGTCTATCTAGCCCAGTATCCTGTCTCTGATAGTGGCGAGTGCCAGAACCTCAGGGGAAGTGTACAGAACAGGGCAGTTGGAGTGATTTACCCCATTCTTCCCCTCGCAACTTCTAGCAGTCAGTGGTTTAGGGTCGCACCAAGCATGGGGTTGCATCTTGGCTAAAGGCCATTGATGGAATTTATCTAGTTCAGTTTTTAAACTAGATAAACTTTTGGCCATCATACCATCCCATAGCAACGAGTTCCACAAGTTAAATGAGTGTTGTGTGAAAAGTACTTCCCTTTCTCTGTATTAAACCTGCTGCCTATTAATTTCATCAAGTGACCCTGGGTTTGTGTGAGGGTGTAAATAACACCTCTCTAGTCACTTTTTCTATATCATTCATGATTTTATAGACCTCTATCATATGTCCCCTTAGTTGTCTCTTTTCTAAAATGAACAGCCTTAACTTTTTAGTCTCTCCTCATACTGAAGCCTATCCATACCGTTGATCATCTTTGTTGCCCTTTTCTAATCCTTTTCCATTTCCACAATATCCTTTTTAAGATGGGGAACCAGAACTGGTCAAGGATTGGGCATATACCATCGATTTATATGGTGGCATAATGATATTTTCTAGCCCTTTCCTAATAGTTCCTAACATTCTGTTAGCCTTTTTGACCACTGCTGTATACTGAGCTGAAGTTTTCAAAAAGCTATCCATGGTGAGTCCAAGATCTTTCTCTTGAGTGGTAACAGCTAATTTAGAACCCATCATTATATATGTGTAACTGGGATTTTTCCCCCAATGTGCATTACTTTGCACTTATGAATGTTCAGTTTCATCTGCCATTTTGTTGCCCAATCACCCAGTTTTGTAAGATTCCCCCAGTAACTCTTCACAGTCAGCTCCAGACTTAACTATCTTAAATAAATTTTGTATCATCTGCAAACTTTGACACTTCACCATTCACTCCCTTTTCCAGATTAATGAATATATTGAACAACACTGGTCCCAGTACAGATCCTTGGGAGACCTCGCTGCTGACCTCTCTCCATTGTGAAAACTGGCCATTTATTCCTATCCTTTGTTTCCTACCTTTTAACCAGTTATAGATCCATGAGAGGACCTTCCCTGTTGTCCCATGACTACTTAGGTTCCTTAAGAGCCTTTGGTGATGAACCTTGTCAAAGGCTTTCTGAAAATCCATGTAAGTTATATCAGCTGGATCACCCTTATCCACATTCTTCTTGATGCACAAGTAGATAGACAGGCCTGACTAAACCACTCACTTAACAGATGCCAGATGAGCACCAGAGCACAGGAAAGTTACCATAAAGAATATGTTTAGCCATGCTGTTAGTGCCTGTTTTAACAAAAGAACCAGGCATTTTAAGTCTATTTATTACCAATGCCTATTGAAATGTAGTCAGATTTGATAACGGAAAGTCAAGTGGAGAAATAGCCCATGGCCTTTGTTTTCTAACAAT